GTGTACTGAAAAAAAAAAAAAAAAAAATTATTTTCTAGGGGACCCATGTTTTGGATTGCTTCAATTTTTTATGACTCTTTGGGGACCCAGTTTTCTCTAAATGGTTATCTCCCCTTTACTTTTGTCCTTGTATTAGTGGGAGAGTAATCCAAGTGAAAGGCTAAGCCATAGGCCAAATGGTTCAGAATAAGCCATGAGAAAGGCTGGAATAATGAGTTGGAAAAGATACACCATAGACTTACGGGACTTTGAGCTGAGTGGAATCATAGAGGTCATCTAACCCAACATGCTCAATTAAAGATGAAACTGAGGCTCAGAGAAATAAAATGATTTGCTCAAGGATACCTCTAGTAAATGACAGGACCAAGATGAAGCACCTTTCCACTAAATTTTACTGACTTCCTTCAGTAGTGTAATAGAAAGAGTTCTTGACCAGGAAAGCATGGTTAGTCATCCCCAGGAGGCTGTCAGGGACTGAGATTGATAACTGTGGCATTTTATAGCATGCATCAGGGTGATTTCAGCTGCACTTTATTGTCTGCTACCACTAGGCTCTCATATAGATTTCCTCAGTTTTTTGATAAATGAAATGATATGAACCCATTTTAGGTTCTTGAGCTAAGGAGAAACATGAAAGCAATTTGAGGAAGACTGCTTTAGTATATGTGAGGGATTGAGTAAAAGTACTCTGTCTAAAGGCTCTTCTGGTAATCTGTGTGGGAAGTGGTGGCTTGGAATAGAATGGTGGCAGTGCTAAAGGAAAGGAAAAGATGGACTTAGGACGTTCTGAATTGAGAATGTAAAGGAAACTTGGTGACTGATTGAATTTAGAATGAATGAATAAATAAATAAATATAAAAACAGCCTTTGTAAACTAGAGAGGTTTGAAAGGAGACCTGATACAAAGAGCAGATGATATGTTTAAGGTGGTTAGCAGATGTTAAGTAAGCTGTCAGCCACCTTGGGCTGGGGCCCCAGTGAGAAATGTGGACTGGAGAGGTAGAGCACACATGTGAGAGTGATGCTGTGAGAGAAATGAGAATGGCAGAGGAAAAGAAAGAAAATTGAACTTTTATAATTTGTTATGGTGAGTGGAAAAAGAGAGAAAAATAAAAAAGAACCCAGGTAGAAAACTAGGAGATTACAAGGTCACAAACTCCAGGGAGGATGTTGTTAGTGATACTAAGTATAGCCAAAAGGTTAAGGATAATGAGGAGTTAAACTCCTTCCAGTTTATTTATTTATTTATTTAGTTTTTGCGGTTCGCGGGCCTCTCACTGCTGTGGCCTCTCCCGTTGCGGAGCACAGGCTCCAGACGCACAGGCTCCAGACCCGCAGGCTCAGCAGCCATGGCTCACGGGCCCAGCCGCTCCGTGGCATGTGGGATCTTCCTGGACTGGGCCACGAACCCGTGTCCTCTGCATCGGCAGGTGGACTCTGAACCACTGCGCTGCCAGGGAAGCCTCCAGTTTATTTTTAACAGGGGAAGGGTGTCATTAGTGAAGCTAGCTGAAAAGTTATAATTAGTGTCATGAACAGTTTTACAACCCTTGTAATTTCCCTTTCCATTTAATTTTTTCATTCCAGACTGTGATAGATGCCAACATTTTCCCAGCCCTCATTAGTATATTACAAACTGCTGAGTTTCGGACAAGGAAAGAAGCAGCTTGGGCCATCACAAATGCAACTTCTGGAGGATCAGCTGAACAGATCAAGTAAGTACTAGCCAAGTAGTGTCTTGTAAATTAAAGGAAAATTACTGTCTCCCAATTAAGAATGCTCAACTCTAGCCTCTTGGAAGATTGTTCTCAGTTTCATAATTAGACTCAAGCGTATATTTGATTCCTTATATTGCTCCCATTCTCTATTGCTGAAGATAATTCTGGGATGTGAGAGGGAAGGCATAGTTGAGGTTTGAGGCGATCGAAATACTTATGGGGGTGGCTTGAGCCTACTCTCAAGCTGCTTGATCAAAAATATCTTGGGGGCTTCCCTGGTGGTGCAGTGGTTGAGAGTCCGCCTGCCGATGCAGGGGACACGGGTTCGTGCCCCGGTCCGGGAAGATCCCACATGCCGCGGAGCGGCCGCGCCCGTGAGCCATGGCCGCTGAGCGTGCGCGTCTGGAACCTGTGCTCCGCCGCGGGAGAGGCCGCAACAGTGAGAGAGGCCCGCGTACCGCAAAAAAAGAAAACAAACAAAACAACAACAACAAAAAAAACATCTTGGGTAGTCTAGAAGGTTACTTGTAGAATTCTTAGAGGCTAACTTTAATAGCTAACTCTTGCTATTTCTAGTTTAGATGTCTTAATAGTAGAATTGGACAGACTTGAAAGAGATGTATTGATATGCCTTAAAATAAAGTGCCAAATTCAGTAGAGGCAGGTCTCCTAAAGGACTATGTTATTCAGTAAAGGGAGAGGTCTGTATATTAGCTTGAGACTTAAATAGCCCCTAGGGCAGCAATTTATAATCTTAATGGCTAGAGTAGGCATAAATATGGATAGGAATCAATTCCTCAAAGGAACATCATATAATCAGATGGTTAATTATGGATATATACAGTATTTCAGATAGAAAAAAAAAGAATGGAACCTAGACTCTTAGCCTGCCTTAAGAT